GTTTGTGAGTGTGTGTTTGTGTGTGTGTGTGTGTGTGTGTGTGTGAGAGAGTGTGTGAGTGTGTGTTTGTGAGTGTGTAATTCAAATGTTGATTGAATTTGTACATTGTTGTTCTATCATTTATGCTTGTTGATTTTTTTTTATAAATCATTGTATTACAGTAATTAGAGTCTAATGAGATTTATCATTAAGAAAAATAGGAATTATAATAATTTTGTATTTATTTTTTATATTTACATTATTTTTGTGAAGCATTATGCACATTTTCCCCTACTATTTCCTCTACTAAAAAAAATAAAATAAATAAATAATTAATTAAATAATTAATTTTATTTATTTTGAGGAATTTGTACATTGTTGTTCTGTCATTAATGTTTATTGATTTTTAAAAAAAAATCTTTGTATTACAGTAATTACAGAGTCTAAGAGGTTCATCTTTAAGAAAAATAGGAATTATAATAGTTATTATAATTAAAATCTTGTGAGTACATATTACAGTAATGAGAATTTGAGTTACTAATGAGCTTTGTAGTCATGAAAATAAATATATATTAAAATGATTTTGTTGTGAAATGTGACTTGTGGCATGTTTTGATGAGATTCACCTTATAGTTTTCCTGGAATATAGTTATTTTGGCCTTGTTTTCTGGACTAAATGTCAGAAATGTTGGTGTTATTCCTAGACTCGACCGCTGTACCTGAGGAACCTGTTGAACCCGCTGTCGCTGAGGAAGGTCTGACGCTGGACTATTTGTCATTTATTAGACTGCTGTTTTACTGTCCAGCTTTGTGTTTACATGTGCTTCTGTGTTTTCTCCAGATAATTCTGCACGATTCGATCTTTCTGATGCGCTCGGTAAGAGATCATCACAAAGCTTTATGGCGTTTGTGTTTGTTTTTTGGGTTATTCCACCAGCAGGTGATTTCAATCTGGAATTACTGTCAGTAGATCAATAATTATACTTACAAAAGTTGAAATTTCGGAATTATGGCATAAAATATCATAATTATTAAATAAGACGTCTAAACCGTGAATTGAATTGATGTTGTAAAACAAACTTTTATTGTCGAAAAGTTAAAATTATGAGATTTAAAAAAAATCTAATTAGGAGCTAAAAGTTAAAATTATAACAAAATTCTCTATTATTTAACAGAGATGTCAGCTATTAGTCTTGAGCTTTCAGCTTCTCCACATGTTTATAAAGAACAGATGCACACTACCGCTCAAACCTTTGGAATAATGAAGTCTCTTCTGCTCAGCAAGGCTGCATTTATTTGATAAAAAAAACAGTAAAAATTGTGAAATATTATTATAATTTAAAACAGCTGTTTTCTATGTGTATATGTGTTCAACTGTAATTTATTTCTGTATTTTCAGCATCATTACTCCAGTCTTCAGTGTCACATGATCTTCAGAAATCATTCTAATATGCTGATTTGCTGCTCAAGAAACATTTCTGATACTTGAAGAGAGGGTTAATCAGCTAATCTAAACGTTTACCTCAACTGACTGTCTACTGTTGAAGTGCACTCTAAACATTTGTGTGTGCATGTTTTCATGTGTATAAGCCAAAAACCAATGCAAATAACTTAAATAAATCAAAAATGGAATGCTTTAATATATATATATATATATATATATATATTACGCTGTTTTAAGACTATCTGAAGGTTACAGACATTGAATACTTTGACTTTCAGAAGCCGAGTCACCTGTCGGAGATCCTGAACCAGGTGAAGCAGAGATTTACTGTCTGCTTTATCTCACAGCTTGATCTTCAGCATCATCTATAAACTTTGCTTTGCTTTCCTTTCATAGATTTTTATGAACAGCCTTTTATTGCCACATTTAAACTATAACGAAGTCAACACGTTACTATGGCGTTCTATACATATTGTTACATATCACTCTTAAAAAAAAAACCCTGATTTTATATTTTTATATGATATAGACAACATATTTGACTTCATATGAAAACTCTTTGATCTTATACAAATGTTGCAGTTCTGTGTGTTTGCTTTAGTAATTTTACGACACATTAAATGACGATCAAACACGTTCATAGTCAAAGCGCGAGACCCAGAGCCCGTATTTAATGTCGTCAGGGTTGTGTTTCTTGACTTTCGACCTTTCTACAATACCATAATGTATATGACTCATTTTTTTGACTGTTCTTTCCAGGAGATATGTAAAAAAAAACTTTGTTTTGTCAGAAATCACGCCTGAAGAAGCTCCAGATGATGCAGAAGAAGAACCAGCACAAGAGGAAGCAGAAGGAGGTAAAATTTCAAAAAGTGAGTGTGAGTGCGTGTGAGTGTGCGTGTGTGTGCGTGTGTGTGTGTGTGTTTGTGTGTGTGTGTGAGTGTGTGTGTGGTTCAACTGTAATTTATTTCTGTATTTTCAGCATCATTACTCCAGTCTTCAGTGTCACATGATCTTCAGAAATCATTCTAATATGCTGATTTGCTGCTCAAGAAACATTTCTGATTTTTATCAGTGTTGAAAACAGTTGTGCTGCTTCATAACACTTTTATTCATCAAGGAGGCATTGATCGAAAGTGACAGTTAGGGTTGGGTACCGAACTCGGTACTTTTAAGGGCACCGACCGAATTGCGTCAGTACTACCGAGTACCGATTCACGTTAAATGTGTGAAAATTTCGGTACCTGAGAACGCATCTGGGCGCATACGCTACAGAGAGAGAAAGAGAGACCCTGTGACGTGATGTCACCCCTGCAACTCCTTCAAACAACACACAGGGCGAGCCGAAATGTTCTGAAGTGTGGTTACATTTAGCAAAATCCATTCATAAAAACGTAATTTACTCTATAGCACGGAATGCCACGGAATTCGTCAAGTTTGGACGAATAAATCAAAAGTAGCCACTGCCACTTAATTTGAATCGCGATATGAACTAGTGTCTGTGAATATTAAAATGCAAAAAGACGGTTTAAATATGAATCCTGCATGTTCCCCTTGCCTCTGTATGAATGAATGCCGGAAACGCGGTTTTGTTTACTACACAAATGCTGAAGCACGTGTGACGCTCGCTGTGATTTTCGGCCTCTGCGTCTCACTATACGACGGCATGAACACAAAAACGTTATCTCCAGAGCTGCTGTGAGAGTCACTTCACGAGAATTTTACCGTTTCATTTGAGAAAACTAGCATCATCATACTGTATACACACAGAAACCTCATGGCAACCTGTCAAAATAACAGTACGGTTTAACATGTAACAGACATATATTACTCAAAGTAAAATAAGTAATAAGTAATAAATTGTATTTTGTCTTTTGTACAGTATAATTTACATCTTTAAATATTCTATTTTCTATCAAATTGAAATAAAACAATTAAATGATAAAAATAAATATTACAACCAGATTAATCACTTAATTGTAGAAAAAAATAATACAATTATTAGCCTATTAAAAATGTTTTAAAGGAATATTCACACAATTTTTCTTCCATGTATTAATTTCAACAGTAAACCTCAGTTTGTTTGCCAAAAAATAAAAGGGTTTAATTTTCATTTGATTTAAAATAAAGGTTTAATGCCTTCATTTGATTTTCAGAAAAATTAAAACAAGAATTTCTGGGGGAAAAAAAAAAAGAAAGAAAGAAAAAGTTTGTAGGGCCCTATTGTTCAAAATGTTGAAATTGAGACTTTTGGACTTCAAAAAACTTTTTTTTTCAAAACCTTTATCTGAAATAAATGTTTACACAGAGAGTAAAGTACCGAAAAAAGGTACCGGTACCGTACCGGTTAAAATGTGAATGAGCTTTCTATTAATCTGTGAATCCTGAAAAATAAAATGCATCACAGTTTCCACAAAAATATTGTGCAGCACAACTGTTTTCAACATTGATAATAATCAGAAATGTTTCTCGAGCAGCAAATCAGCATATTAGAATGATTTCTGAAGATCGTGTGACACTGAAGACTGGAGTAATGATGCTGAAAATACAGCTTTGATCTCAGAAATAAATTACAGTTTAACAGATATTCACATAGAAAACAGCTATTTGAAATTATAATAATATTTCACAATTTTACAGTATTTTTTATCAAATAAAGCAGCCTTGCTGAGCAGAAGAGACTTCTTTCAAAAACATTGAACATATCTGAATTATTCCAATCTCCTGACTGGTAGTGTATGACAGTCAGTACACAAATGTCTGGTGCTTGCATGTAAATTCCAAACCTCACTGGCCTTGTCCAATGACTTTGCACATATGACGCTTCACACAGCACTGCGCATGAAATAAAGCGCCATGTCTTGGCAGTTTGAGTGCATTTCAAGTGCTCACACAATGCATGACTGAACAGGAACAGAATTTATTGGTGTGTGTCTGATTACCTGCACTCAGTTACGTTTGGTAATCACACACTTCATTTATTTGCTGCTTCTGGTTTAGCAAGTGAAAACTGACAATTAAAAGAGATGATAGTAATTCACAGTACTATGGCTGAATTCACTAACCAGTTGCACCACTTTAATTGCAGCATTTCAGCGCAAAACTTATATGCAGTGAATCAGACAGTGTGTGCAAATAAATAATAATAAATAAACACTAGCACTGTTCATATATCATTTATCATTTACTTTACAGAAAAGGAACTACAACCAGAGGATCCAGGTAATTACTGTATTCAAATTTTAGCATGCCCGTAAACATGCAATATTTTTCTCTGAAGCTGCTTTGAAACAATGTCATATATACATAAAATGTGCAAATTCAACTCGATTCTAAATGAATGAAGTTTCCATATTCTGTGTAGAATCAATACATTTCAGAGTTTGCTTTATGTTATTTGCATGTTAATTATATGTTTGCTTACAGTAAAGACTGAATTGGGAGATGCAGACCAGCAAAGCTCAGGTCAAGGCAGAGGTCAAGCACTTTTGTTTTATATCATTTGGTCATATTTACATGATGTTTTGCAGTGTAAGCTTAACATCTATAATCTTATTATGCATTATTATCAGGTTTGGCCTGAATTATAAGCATTTAAAAAAAAAAAAAAAAAAACTTGCTCAAGCTCTTAAAACACACAAAATTAAAACCTTAAACCCCTATATTGTGAGCATATTAAATAGTATAAATAGGATAAGCATATTTACAGTAATCACGGTTTGAATAAAAGGTGTAATCAGGTCTGGGCTTCTAGGCGTCAGAGATACTGATGCATAAAGCATTTCCTGAAAACAAACAAAAACAAATAATAATAAAATATCGTAAGCAAAGCATTATATTCAGTACATTGGCTAAATATGTGCAGCAAAAAGCATCTAAAACAAACAAGGAAGTAATTGTATATTTTTCATATTACACAGCAATGGTTATTGCCAATATCTGTGTTTCATCTTGTTATGTTCTCTCTCATTACAGCTCGCAGCGCTGGAGCAGTTTCTGAGCCAAAAGGTATCATATTCTCCAACTAGATCATATAAACAAACACTTCTTAAATGTTACATGTTTGTGAGAAAGTCAAAGTGCTCGAGTGTTCTGGTTGGAATCTTGTTGTTAGGGGTTCGAGGTGGTTACTAGGGTGTTGCTAGGAGTCATTAGAGGGTTCTGGGTGGTTGCTATGTTGTTCTTAGGGGGTTCGGGGTGGTTACTAGGGTGTTGCTAGGAGTCATTAGAGGGTTCTGGGTGGATTCTTGTTGTTAGGGGTTCGGTGTGGTTACTAGGGGGTTGCTAGGGGTCACTGG